AGAGCAGTTACAGCCCCCTGGTTCAGTTGCCAGCGCTGGATCTCCAGTGCAAGCCCATAAGGTGATGCTCAGCCTCCATTAAGTCCAAGGCAGGGCTGGTGTTCATTTCTGCTGACTGGCTTCTTTTCTTGTGCGAGCTGAAGTCAGTCTTTAAAGCCTCTTCAGGGGGACCAGTGGAAGATGAAACAGCAATGTCTTGAATGGAATCCTTTTATCTTCCCCCTTGCAGCAGAGAACAGTGTAAGAGCAGTTAGGAGTACCTGTCCCTCTGTCTGTCTGTACTGCTGAAGGCATTGCTGGTCCCCTGACCTGGTGGTGCAGGCTGGCTGTGTTTGCACCACACAGAGCTTGCAGTGAACCCTGACGCAGCACAAAAACGGAGATCTTTGCCTCTCTCGTCTTTATGCTTTTCCCACCCAGGATCCACCGCGCAATGTGCTCACCTCACCCATGGAGGTCATGTGCCAGCAGGGCCCTGGAAGGAGCCACGCTCGGGATGCACGGGCAGCCTTTGCCCAGCACTGCTGCGGTGACGTGTCGCTCGCCACTACTGTGTTTGCGGCTTCCCTTTGTCAGATGGCCTTTTGATGGTGTCTCTGGCTCCTCTGTCAGTGTGCTGCGTTCTCTCAAATGGGACCAGGCAAAGGGCTGATCCCTTGGGGGGATATTACATTAGATATTACGTTTTCCAGATGTTTGGGCTTAGACAAGCAGGCCAGGCTTGGAAATGTGGACTCTCAGTTCAGGCCGCGTTATCCAGGGGGGTTGCCCTTGCAGTTATTTACCAGTGCTGGAGAGGGAATGCTGAACCTGGTACCCACCATGGGCCCCCAGCTGGGACAGAAACCTATGAGACACAGTAGGGGGTACAGAGCTTGTAAGACCAAGTTCAAGGCTTGTGGCAGGGAACTGGCAAGGGGAGAGGACTGCCAAAGCTTTCTGGGCTCTTGCCATTCTCACTGTGCCCTAATCAGTGTGCACCAGTTCAGGTCAGAAACTCATCATGGCCACATCTGGAGCAGCAGTCCTGCTGGGCCACTCCAGACAGCCCCATGCCATGGCCTAGCCTGGACTGGCCAGTCTTTGTGCAGCTGGGAGGCATCCCAGGAGGTTCCTGCCTCTGCACTGGCCACTGTTGGGCTGCCGTTCTTCAACCGTTTGGTTGAAAGCAGCATTGCTTGGTGGTACAGGAATACCCAGGCACATAGAAGGCCATGAGCAGGAGGACAGGCTTTGAGCTGGTCAAACCCCAGATGATTGTTCCCGAGATGGGATGTTGGCATTTTGGGTTTTTTCCTTAGCGATGGCCTTGAATAACAAGAGGCCTGCTCAGTTGTTTGAGAGAATTTTATTTTCATAACTCAATGCAAGAGGTGTGGTGATTGCCTTGGTATGTCTTTGGGGCATGGCACAAGGGTGTGTGTGGTGAGATAGCACTGATGCATTGTGCAGGACATAGCAAACCAGGTTTGGCACAGCCATGTCCATGATGCCTAACTTCTTTTGGAGTGACCTGTCCCCCAACTCGCCCCAAAGGTTGTATGTGGTTCATTAGGTCCAGATTAGAGTTTAGCAGCAAATGAATTTATACGCCTGTGTACAATCAGGAGAGCTTGGAAGCTGTGTAGATGCCATAAGAGAATTGCTATAACTGTTTGTTCCCTCTGATACGTGTCCCCTCTCGTTTGCCACTTCTCTGCTGAGCGGAGAAGAGAGACCTTTCCCCTGAACCTGGAGAAAACTCCTGAGTTGGCTTCTCTGCAGCACAGCCTGGGACACATCCCTAGATCCTACAGAGCCTTCTTTTTCCCATGCTGCAAGCTGGACATGGGGCAGCGCTTCTTCTTCAACAGAGGGAAGGAGTAGCAGAAGCTCAGCAGGCTGTCACAGGAGAAAACCGCTCAGTTTCTGTAGTTTAAACCAAAATCAGGACCAAAGCACTATATTGACTTACTAATGACATGTAGTTACCTGGCAGTCATGCTTCTTTTATACTTCTGTTCAAGCTGGCTTCTTTTTTTTTCAAGTCTCTCTAATTCCCCAGTTACTGTTTAATCTGTCTGAGGGTTGCTTCTTCCTTAACATAAGCAGTTTGGAGCAAATGCCCAAAAGTTATGTGTATTTGATGCAGGCGCATGTGGGTGCACACACAGTTTATACTCATGTTCTTCTCTTAGCAGGTGCTGCTATCCATGCTGTTTACGAAGGGTGGGCTCTGCAAGCACCCCCATGCTCCATAACAGTTAATGCCCTCGGTGAATAGCAGGGATAATCATTTTTACAGTATTTTCTAGGTGGTCCTCTCTAGCCCACAGGGTTCTGACTGCAGCAGTGGGATGTGAGGCTGCATCTCAGCAGTGAAGGTGTGAATGGCCACAGATCTCTGTCTTCAAGGGGGGCACACATACTAGACTGTAGCTACTGTAGTATTGGAGGGTGCTAACATCAATAAGGCACAATTTAATTAAAAACTGTCATTAGATCATCAGTTTCTGAATGTGATTTTAGGGCAACACAGAACTATTTTGCTAAGGACACCATGTGATTTTCTGGTAGTGATAGGGGCCAAAGCAGATACTTCTGCTACAGTCCAAGACGTTAGGAAGTCTTTGGTAGTCTTTGGTATTTTAATCATTTTTGAGAGGAGCAGGCAGTACTGTGATACCGGCATGCCAGGAACTACTGAAGAACAGAAGCAGATGAGAAAATTCTCTCCTGATTTTCCATAAAGGCCATTGGAAGTATATGTAGAAAAAAAGTCAGGCAGATATTTGGTGACCAAAGGAAATTTCACTTCTGATTCGTGTAATCTGTCATTCTCCAAACAGAAATAAGAATACACTTGAAAGAAAGTTACGCTGGTTTGGCAGTCCTCCCATACGGTTGGGTAGTATGATTAATTCTCTGTGGTTTGTAAGACTCGCGTTAGAAAGTTAGCTCTTAAACGTTAACTTGGCCAGTGAAATTCCCTCCAGGCAAAGCCCCTGTGTCTCCCTTGAGCTGTACCGTGGGAATGGGCCCAGCGCAAGTGTGGGTGGTGGTAACGCCATCTTATTCCCAACAACGACACATTCTCAAGCATGCGGCCATTTACTCACTATGTTTTGGACACTGTAACTACAGCTCAGCTGAGGGAAGGGGGTTTGTGGCAAGTCCACTTACCAGCTGATGCAATTCCAGTGACATCCAAATGTTGTCATCTATGTTAAACATAAAGCTGAGAATATCTGAATTTGAACTGCCATGCCTGGGAAGACAGGATGTTCTTGTATATTTTGAAATTCGGGGGAATTTTCTTATCCTTGCCTAATGAACTTTTTCCAACTTTTTTTAAACCCCTCCTTGATATTTTATGGCTACCAGTGAATTAAAAATTAACTAAAGTAACCAGAATAAATACAATATTGTTTGTGGTGAGTATCAATTGAAACTAAGCAGTGAGAACAAAAGGACTCTGCTGTTTTTCCTAACATCTCTATAGAGCTGGCAGAGGAGGACGTAGCAAGGTCTTTTCATTTCAGATGTGCACTGCAAATATTTGAAGTTCATGTCTCACTGATTTAGCCATAAGCAGTTTTTGCACATTTGTCTTCAGATTAGTGTCATTCCAGTGCACTGTAGTGGAGTTCTCCGTAGCCCATGGGTTGTGCTCCCAGCTCTGCACATCTCAACTAGGGTATGGGTGGCATTCCCTCTTTGCTTGGGAAATGTTGGTCTTGGGACTGGCCAAGCGATCAGAAGCGAGCAAGGTAGTGTGTTGCCAAAAGCCGGTTCCTTTGAATGAGAGGCAGAAACTCAAAACATTGTGTTCCCAGTCTGTTACGAACATCAGGTGAAACGCAATAGCATTAATCACCATTTCAGGGTAAACTATTTTAAATGCAAAATACAAGCATGCAGTTGGTTTCTACATCTCAGCAAAGAGGCTGTCACCCTTGGTGACTGTCAGAGCATGTCCTCTGAATTCATGATACTTTTGATACGGATGGTGTTGGATGCTCTACAAATGAAGATAAGATATGTGGGTGGATTTCTCAGCCTCTCCCTAGCCCCTGGGGTAAAGCTACCTTTGGATTCATCTGGCTAAAGGGGAGCTAGAAGAGTCTGTGAGCTAGGGTTTTACATTGGAAACACTCGTCTTATCACAGCGGTCGTGTTCATCTGAACGCACAAGCAGAGTTGCAGCCGCACAGCACCGCTCTCACCGGGCCTCGGCAGAAGGCAGATGAATGGGAAGGGCTGAGGCTGGACTCTGGTGCAAATGGCAGGTCAGCAGATGGGAGAGGACAGTCAGGATGTCCCTGCTCAGATTGCTAGCACCCATCTCTGACTGGCTTCACACTGCTCCTCGTCTTCCCAGTACGCTGTGGCTAGGAAGGGAATGGCACAGGCTGGAGTGCCCTTTGCCTGTGGGGGTGCCCCTGCGCAAAGGAAGGGGTCTCGGTGAACCCTGCCAACTGGGTCTGCCTGGTCTCCTCTCCATCTCCCAGAGCTGTTTAACAGCCTCCTTAAACTGCTTTTGCCATCAGTAAAATAAAGAGTTTGTATTGTTCCTCACTTCTCCTGTGTGGTGGCCCATTTGGGATAACTGTTCCTCCTTAGCCTAGCTGGAAACCAGTAACGTGCACAGAATTGTAATCCGGTATCTACATCTGGTTTAATTTCAGAAAACTAACGTATCCACTGTGATTCATCCTCCAGCTCGTCTGCTGCCCTGTTCTCAGGATGGCAAAGTTGTAGAAGGGGAGGCTGACCATTTGCATTAATCCCTCTGCCCTGCAATACTCCCCTGGAGGGTCAGGTCATAGAGCCTCAAACAAGAGACGCTGCTTTTGTGCTAGATGCTTTGCAGGAAGCTGGCTAACGTATGGTTTTCTTCACAAGTTGGGAGGCTATTGACCCTGCAAGCTGGCATCAGGCAGCTGACGTGCAGATAGGGCCAAATACCCTGGTCCTGATTTTCTGCTTAGTAGCAGCAGTGCCCCTGTGAGCAGAGACAGTCAAACATCCCCACCTTGGGAAGCGTAGCAATAACCATGGCGCTCCACAACTGTGATGAGGTGGCGGTAGCTGGGTTTGGCTATGACATGAGTTCACCCAATGCACCGCTGCACTACTATGAGAACATCAAGATGTCTGCCATCAAAGAGGTAGGGAGCTCCTGCAGAGCACATCTTCCTCCCAAGCCCGCCGACCGCCCCGACTCCAGAACCTGACTGGGATGCTGATGTCAACTTAACAGCTTTCCTGTATGGGTCAAAACACAGCTCAAGCCATGCTTTTGCCTGTAAAATTCTAGACATTCTCCCAAGAGCAATGTGTGTTAAAAATGGTTATTTCTGCTGGGAAAAGTTCTCTGGAATGTGCATATAATGTGATTCCTTCTTCGAGCAGCAGGGAAAAAGATTCACATAAAAGTTAACTCAAGTCGGGTGAAGGGGAGCAGTTCTGCTCTGGGGTTGAAAAGATGTGGCCTCCTCCTGCTTTTTGATCCACTGTATTGCTCCCTAATCCATAGGCTGCTTTTCCTAGATGAGCCCTTCCTCAGCCCCTGTGAAATGTGGGGGAGGTGAGATTAGCCCGTGCATGCTAGCTCTCAGCTGACTGTTCAGGAGCAGTTAGCTAGTGTAAACACATTGCAGCTCTGTGGCGACTGCTCTTCAAAGCCAGATCTACATTAGAAACATTTTCTGATATTGTCGTAGTGAGACGAATAGCATTTTTAGAGGAACAAAAGCGCTCATGTTGGTATAACGCAGCACTGTAAAGATGCTCTTTCAGGTCTCTCCATTTCCTGTACCAAACTAGAGCAAACTTGGACACTGCTCCAAGCTTATGTAGTGGGAAGGTTTGCTGCTTTTTTGGTAGATCTCAACCTTTCCCAGCACAGATGTCGCCCAGGTCTTTCTAAGACTGCTCCTCCCTCTTCACTGGCTCCTAGGTAGGGAAACTTTCTCCATCCTACTCCACGCTGTGAAAAGTTGTATTGTTCGTGGACGGTAGCTGTCTCCTGGCACTCGGCATTTGTTCACCTCGAGCACTTTGCCATTGGTCCAGGCCAGGAGGGAAGCTGGAAAGTTGTGTTGTTCCAAATCACAAGATTGCACGTGTCTTAGGACTCTCACAGGCTGCAGGCTGCATGACCCTAGGCAGACTGAGAGGAATTAGAAATCAGTGATTAGTCAGCTTGAGAAATGAGAAGAACATGTCTAATTATCAGAGTAATGAGGCTTTGGAACAACCTCTCTGCAGAGGCCAAGAGAACAAACTGAGTTTGGGAAAAGACTGAAGAGGTTCCCAATATATCAAGGGACTGGACATTGTGGTCCTGAGGTACTTTCTGGGTCTGTGGAGGTAGCAAGAAAGTCTGCCTTGCTCAGTGGAATAACCATGGATTTAACCTGTCCTGGCTGGGAAAGTGAGTGCTCATTTACAGGATTTAAGGGGTGTGTCCAGACAGGAAAACTGAATTGAGTCACTATATACAGACATGGTATCTAGCTTGTAAAATCCCCATGCAGAAAAGAACTGAGGAATATCATTCTTGCAGTTGGAGAGGAGGTATCACCATTGGCTTGCCCAGTTCTGACTCTTCCCTGGGCATCTTCCCTGGGCATTTGCCTATAACCACTGCCTGAGACAGGACCCTGGGCTACCCAGGCCCAGGTCTGAGTCAGTACAGCTGGTTCCTTAGCCTTCCAGCAAAGACATGACTACACCAGAGTGAAAATGGATGCAGATGCCTGGCTCCAGCGGTGGGTACAGAAACTGTTCATGAAAGTTTCAGGAAAAGCTTTTGTCTCTGTGGTGTCACTGTGTCCACTCCAGTGAATCGGCTGCCTTTGCTGGAGAATCACTCTTGCCCAATTCCTCCTGTCTCATAAGGATGTCAATACCGCAGTCTGCTCTTGGACATGGGGACGCTCACAGCGGGTGTCCTGTGCCAAGCCTGTTTTGCAACCTGGTAGGTGTCTCTGATGTCACGGACATCTACGCAGGACCTGACAAGAATGAAGTCGTCTTGCTCTTGATCCTTACATGGATCAATGGGAAAAGCTGGCAAAAAGAGTTGGATGACAGAGTCTCTGGTTGAGGTTGCCGGTCCAGATCACTTAGATCTTTGATTCTGGAGGCCAGCACCCTGAGGGGGATGCAGAAGACAGGAGGGAGTCACTCTTGGATGCTGTATGTGGTCTCAGGAATAAACCTTGCATAGCACAGGGCAGTAGATGAGGATGAACATGTAAAATGCAACCAGTAGGGTCTCCTAGAGAGACCAGTTGGTGGCTGGTTTGTCAGGCCTCTGCTGTCTGGAAGCTGTCAGTCATCGTGTCCAGGATGTTCTGTATGGAGGTGAGGGAGCGTTGAAAGGTTCTGGTGAAGCCTCACTAATTCAGATGTCAGTGGATTTGTTTCTGCAGCCAGGGCTGTTGATGAGAGCTCTGTAGGCCAGTGGAGCTGGTTTTAGGAGGAAGGTTCCTGTTCTACTTGAAGACTGGTTATCCGATATGTCTGCCCATCTCATCCTCACATCCTCACCCACAGGCTCCTCTTACATTTCGCTGCCCTGGTACAAGAAAAGCCATCTGTTCCCGAGTATCAATAATTAATATTCCTCCTGCCTCTGCCCCTCCCAATGTGACAAATTGTTTGCGATATTGTGGAATGTGAAGAGCAGGGAGAGGATTGCATTTCTTTCTTTCCCATTTAATATTAATGGTAGCTGGTAATTGTTAGTCACCTGAGGGTGAAGCTGAAAGGTGAAGGATATGATAGTAAAGAACACACAAATGGGAGATTTGCCCCAGTCTAGACTGGAAGTGCTCTGCACGCTCTGCTTGAAGAGACCTGCGTGTGGTTTGCAAATCGTGAGCACCTTGTGCCAAACGTTACCCTTGGCACTAGTGAAAGCAGACTGACCCAGAGCCAAGCTCCACCAAGGTTTTTGTCTGTTCCTTCTGCTCTGACACCCAAAGGCCCAAGAGCATCCACAGCATTTTCCTCAGTGTTACTTCGGACCTCCGGGATTATGTCCAAGTCTGGTTCTTCCTGGTCCTCCTCTACCGTTCAGCCTGTAAAGGAGCCACTAAAGCAGGCTGTGCCTTCAAATTATGCACATACCATTTTTGTCCTCTGTCTGGCCTGCAGGCCCATGCAGGCTGGAGTATTCGTTCTTGGGTAGGGGAGTGGAAAAGGTTTGCTTAACACAGCAACATCACAGCACTGAAAGAATTGCCATGGGATGCAGCTGTTCCGCCATAACGAACATCTCAGGCAGGAGCCCCTGCAGTTTGACCAGGCTTTCATGGGCAGAACCTCTATTTTCAAGGTTCAAATCTTTTCCCTGACTGCCGGGCTCCTCCAGCCTGGAAGACCGAAAATCTGCAGTGTTTAAGCCTGGAGAGCAGCTGCAGGGAAGCGCTCCAGCTCCACCCTGAAACCATCACTATCTTCACAGAGGAAATGTAAACACCAGCAGTGTCCTGGGTCTGAGGTGCCACACGTGTGTGTGCGGCTCGTGGGAGCCTCCCTGGGAACATCCATCGAGCCCCTTCCCTTGCCTGGTGTCTGCAGGGAGAATGGGCCTGCCGGCGAGCGTGTGTCCTCTCTGCAAGGTGTGTCACTGATTTACACTTGAGTCCTGCTTGACATCTCTCTGGACACCCTTGAAACCCCGTGACTCATCTCTGAGGAATTTGTTCTGATTACATAAAAAAAAGCCAGCAAAATGTGCTCGCATGCTCACAGCTGGGCGGAGATGCCTCTCCCATGCCAAGACTGAGGTGATAAAATCTGTGTGGAAATGAATGTGATTTTTCCTGTTGCTCTGTGGGACTGGCGGCTGAATTTCCAAGAGGCGAAACAGGCAGCCGGAGTGTGTATTTTTCCTTAGTCTTTGCTTTCCCCGCAGGGGTAGAAGCCCTCAAGGTCCAAGATTGCGCTGCAGTTGCTACCGCAGGAGGCAGCTGCCTCCTCTGCCTCTTCCAGCATCCCGGACTGCCAAGGGCTGAGCAGGCATTTCCTGCCCCAGAGGAAGAGGCTCTGTGGGGAGGCAGATGCTCTGGAGCTTCATCGGTGTTACCAGTCATGGGGAGGTACATGGCCTTGGGACCCTGGTCAGTAGTGTGGCTGCAAAACACATACGGAATCTCCTGTGCTTGTGAGTGCTCATAGGAGTAAATTTCTCCATTTTAGTCCTGGATGGCTTCCTTACCCTCTGTCCTGGGTAGCTGGGTGTGCTCCAGCCAGGGTATGTCCAGGCAGACCTCGTGGAGAAGACCCTTTTCTGTCCATAAGCGTACTCCGGAGGTCTGGAAGCACACTGGTGCCATCCTTTCAGTTTCAGGCTGTGAGCTGGAAGATCAGCGCTTGCAGTGCAAAACCTCTGCTGCCCAGCACCTTTGCCCCTTGTCTCTCCTCTTCTCCCCGTCGTGGCCAGGGGAGCAGAGTCCCTGGCTGCACTTCAGCAGGGGTTTTCTGGGTGGTGTGAAGACCCTCTGCTCTCCTCTGGTCTGCTCCTGGGAGACTGCTGCCCAGTAGACCCCATGTGGTGGTGTAAACTCTCACAGGTGATTTTTTCAGCTCTGAGCCTGTCTCTTTGTTTTAACTTACAAAATGCAGAACGTCCAAGTGTGTCATCTCCCTTCAGTTACTATTTTCCCTATTCCCAATAACTCTGCAACAGCTTTTGACCCTTGGCTGCTTCCACGAATGCTGTACAGAAAATGATTGAGTCCCTGCCAAGGTGTCTGCTCACTTGTTTCTGTTTGCATGGCAGTGAGTCCATCAGAGCTGAATTTTTATCTAGTTTATCGTATTTTTATTTCTTGCTCAGGTCCTGTAATGCTTCCTGCCCAAGCACTCCATAAAAGTGTATTTTTATCACAGGTCTTCTATTTTATCACTGTCTTCCATGAATGTAGAAATGTCAGATCCACTGGGAACATAGTGAAGGAAACATGGAAACGGAGGTGAGGAAAAAGGGAATAATTTTAAAATAGATAAGGCTTTCCCAGATAAAAAAAATGAATGAATCTGCCTATAAGGATTAGAATAGACCTTCATTGCTAATGGCAAAACAGGCTGGTGTTTCAGGATGGGAAAGTGACAGTGTTTAGAATAGTAAAAACATATCCGTAAGGAGTTGATG